GAGAACGAGAGGCGCGAGAAGGAGCTGCTCGAACATGAGACGCGTGAGAAGGAGAGGCGCGAGCAGGTGGAGCGCAAGCAGCAGGCGCGCGAGCAGGAGAGGCTCGTGCAGGAGGCGCGCGAGACCGAGAAGCGCGAGGCGGAGAGGCGCGAGCAGGAGGTCCGTGAGAAGGAGAGACTCGAGCGGGCGGAGCGCGAGCAAGAGAAGGGCGAGCGGGAGGCCCGCGAGCAGGAGCAGCGCGAGCAGGAGGCCCGCGAGCAGGAGCAGCGCGAGCGGGAGGCCCGCGAGCAGGAGCAGCGCGAGCAGGAGGCGCACGAGAAGGAGGCCCGCGAGAACGAGAAACGCGAGACGAAGAGGCGCGAGAAGGAGAGGCTCGAGCAGGAGAAGCGCGAGGAGGAGAAGCGCAAGCGGCAGGCGGGCGAGCAGGAACGGCGCGAGCAGGAGAAAGGCGAGCAAGAGGCGGCCGTGAAGGAGAAGCGCAAAGAAAAGACACCTGCCGCAAATAAAAGTGCGAAAAACGAAAACAGCAAAAACAACGAATTTACAAAATAATAACAAATTTAACGAAGCTAAATTTTTAGTTCTTGGATATTACCGTATCGAGGGGCACTTTTTCTAAAGTTCCAATTTTTCTAAGGTAATATGCATAAATCTATCGAATCTATCGAATGGCACTTAAAAACTCCCGAAGAAAAGAACTATTTTACCTAAAAAAATTTATAACCTTGCTGTGGTGTTCTCCCTCTTAAAATATAGGTTAAATTTTGCCCACAAACACCTTCTAAAATGCTGATCTGCTAAATTTCAGGCGCAACAAAAACGAGTGCCAAAGACGAGGAAGCTGAGGGAGCTGAGGGAGCTAAGGGAGCTAAGAAAGCTGCCGCAAGCGTCCCGGCGAAGAAAGGTGCGGAAATAATAAAATAAATAACCGCAAATTTATGCTTAGGTTCAGCTTAGGACTAGGCTTATTTTTTCGGCTTACGCTAAGCTTCGGCTTGGGCTTGGGCTCAGGCTTCGGCTTAAGCTGAATTAGTCAGGCTTAGGCTTAGGTTTAGGCTACAGGTTAGGCTTAAGCTTAGGTCGCTTAGGCATGTAGGCTTCGATTGAGCTTCGGCTTCAGATTTGGCTTACAGTTAGTATGCTTAGGCTTAGGCTTAACTTACCTTAAGGTTAACCTAACAGTTAGGCTTAACCTTCTTAGGCTTAGGCCTAGGCTTATGTCTAGGCGTCGGTCAGGCTTACAGACTTCGGCTTTACGCTTGGGCCTAGGTTAGGCTTAGGCTTAGGCTTAGGCCTAGCCTTAGCTCAGGCTAAAGCTTAGCCTGGAGGCTTAGGCTTAGCTTACGCCAGGTTAGGCTTACGCTTAGAGCTTCGTTATGCCTAAGCTTAGTCTTACCGCTCTTACGTTACGCTTAGGCTTATGATTGAGCGTTTTTAAGCCAGGCTTCGGCTTAGGTTCAGGTTAGACTTTGGCTTAGGCTTTGGCTTAATTCATTTTACGAGGCCGACGGGATGACCCCCGAGCTGTGTACGGTGTTGGCGGTGCGCGGCCCTCGACGACAAGTTGTTCGCCGGCGTGCCGGGCCACTGGGAGCGCAAGCTGAGCCTGGCCATCCGCGCCTGGAAGAAGTCCGTCAAGGAGCAGCGCGCCGACCGAACAAACGCCTCAAGATCACCCTGGCGCTCATAAGTGGTTCGGTGGTCGTCGCCGCGGAGGAGAAGCTGCGCAAGGCGAAGGCCATACCCGTCCCAGGCGGCCGGCGGTTGCGGATGCGTGGTAGGCGGTTTTTGGGTTCTGACTGTTAGCGGGGCGCACAAATTTTTCCCTGTGATTCTCTAGGGACCTATAACAAAATAAAGAGCATTTTTTATAGCATTTAAATAGTTTTTTCGATATAATAAAAACAATCTAAAAAAGCAAAATTCTCGAAATTTTTGCATTTTTGAGTATAAAATGAACAAAAAAGTCAAAATGTTCCAATTTTCAAATTTTCCAAATATTTTTGTAACTTTCCAATCTAAAACTAACTAAAAACACCACAAAAACACATCAAATACGATCACCAGATAGGTGGAAAACAAAAACATCGTTCCCCATGCAAAAAATCGCTCCGCTAACAGTCCAGAACCGAAAATTCGGTCCCCCGATAATGCAAAAGATCCTTTTCTTAGACGCCCACGCCATGAAGTTTATCCACCACATATACATCGGTGCTCACTGGCCGCCTGTCGACCTCGCTGTTCGACGACACCTTGAGAAGAGCCTCGACGACGAGCTGCACGACGGCATCGAGCAGTGGCAGCGCTCCGATTGACCAATCCGGTCAGTTTTTCGGCGAGAATACGGGAGTCTTCATTAAACTTTGTCGAATTTGTTTAAAAACGTAAAAAAGCCTGATAAAATGAACTTTCGGATTAAAAGGATTAAATTCAATCAAGAAAAAGTTGCCCCCCGTTAATACGAAAGGAGCGGATTTTGTGGTTTCCAGATGCGCCCGACGCGATGCTAGAAAAGTCAGGAGACGCGAAAAAGGCCCATGACAGGCGCTACCAGTCCTGCTGGAGGCGTTGCAGAAGCTGCAGAAGCCGGACGACGATGAGGATGTCGACGGCCCGGTGAAGGTGGAGGTGTGGATCCCGCCCCTTGGCCCGTCTCCCCGTCCACCAACCACTGCCGCAACGCCGACACAATTTACGAGACGGTGTGCGTGATTTTGACAGCCACGGCATGGCCGACGGCGAGGCCGCCAAGATCATGGAGACGCTCGCTGTGGGGCGAGGCTTGATCATTTCTACAGGGTGTCCTAATAAAACACTCCCCAGCCGACTTCCACCTACCGTCTCGGCTGCTGTTCATCTAGCAGAAGCTGGAAGTATACCAAAATGTTCGTCTTGCTCTGTCGAGTATTTTGGTATACTTTGAACACCTGTAGATCACAGGGCCTGGCTCACTATGTCCAAATCACCCCAACTTCCGTCTCTTACCCTTTACTAAGCAAAACTTTCAAAGTTAATTTTAATAATCCTACTATATATAAAAAATAGTGTCTGTGTGTTTGTGTGTGTGTGCTCACTTTGCATGCAACTTCCGTCAGAGGTGTCCGGAGGATAGAGGGAAAGGGTTTTAAGCAACGTATTATACGTCATTAGGTGCGTAATGGCGTTGAGATGACTGCACACACATCAGATTTTGCAAATTATGCTATTTTCGACGTTGAACAATTACGTTTTTTGTTAGAAAACGGAGCACCCACTTTTGTTAGGAATCAATTAGCATATGCCGGAAATGGCGCGAGCTCATATAATATATTTGGTGAGATATTTTCAATTTTTCTTGCTATCATCGGAATTCGCGATAATTATGCAAAATGAAGCATATTATGACGCTAGATTTGGGCCAGGGCTGAAAAGACGCGAAGCGGCTTTTTCAACCCTGGTTTAAACTAAAAGTTTTTCATACCCTTTATCAGTTTGGGGGTTTCTGACCACGCTCTACCCGAACTGAAAAGAGCCAAGCCTAGCCCTTTCCCTTTTTGTTGAACTCGGCTTCGGACGGATGGACGAACGAGTCAAAAAATTGTTATAGCGCTGATTTTTCAGAGTCAACTTGAGACGCAGTTGACATGATGGTACACAAGAAAAACGATTTGGCTGATATTGCGGTCCACACGTTCCGTGACGACACGATTTCGCTGGGACCCGCAGCTCCGCGGCGTCATCGTGTTCTTGGTCGGGGGTTGTGTTTTTTTACTTAAAGGGGCTCCGAACTGCCAAATCAAAGCCCTTTGGGGAGGCCTCTTTGATTTCTGGAAAATTGCCAGCGGGGCGCTGCCGGACGAGAGCCCTCACTCTTTCGATTTTTTGCGGCAAAGTTGTTTTTGCCCGGTTTCTTCGTGAAAACACGATAATTCGTAAGCGAGATCTGATAATATTTTTGCAATCCTGACGCAATTTTAAATAGTTTTGGTGTTTTAACCATGAAATTTGGGCCCAGAAACAGCCGAGAACAGGATTTCGAGGTGAGCACAGGCAATTTCAAATTTTGCGAGCTTCCCGGCCCTGGGCGTATAGAGGCCTCCGACGTACAGGACTCCGGATTTTCGGGCCGTCACTCAATTTTTGGCATTTCGTAGTTCTCTTTAACGAACGTCCGGCGGCTGGAAAACTACGGTGTGATTCCACCGCCTTCCAGACGAACTTGGCCGTCCTCGGCAGAAAGCTCTGGAGGACGTGCGCCTGGGCGCCGGCTTCTTCCATTGTGCAAAAGACTGACGACCTCCGCGACGTGAAGGTCATCGGACAAGTCTGTGTGCCGGAGATTGGCGACGGCATGGAGGGCGAGGTCAGCGAGTTTGGTGTAGCTTTTAGGAAAATATTTGCGTTTTTCCTAGGGCAGAACAACGTCAGAATCTTATTTATCATCGGGGGGAGAGCTATTTTTTCCTATAGTCTTATAAATTCCCGCTAAGATAATTTAATAATACCAGTATTTAATACCAGTAAAACTAAAAACGATTGGATAACCTTTAAAAAATGAAAAATCTGAAATTTTCGTCGACATCACTCATTTTTTTGTAACATTTGATGAAATTCTTGACATTTTTGCTTTTGGAAATAGTAAGAAAAACACTTTGAAAGCATTTCCTCTATTTATTTTTTCAAAAAAGTTGCCCCCCGATAATGGGGCAAGTACCTACGCCTTACAGGTGAAGCCGCGTCTCCCGCCTCCGAGCGACCGCCAATACTACCTTCGCCTCGTGGTAGCTGGAACGTTATGTGGGGGCCAAAATATCGATGTTTCAGGAGATTTACTGCAACTCACACTGTCCTGCTTCGTCCCCTTGGCGTCCGATCGCCAAGCCGGTGAGCACGAGGTCGTTGGGTAAAGAGCAAGTTCTAGGAGTGGCGCTACGATCCGGGCCCCGTGCCCGCCGCTTTCTAACCGCATGGTAGGCTTTTTTCTCTGTCTCTCACTTCTCCTCGGTCTCTCTCTAGCTATCTCTCTGTCTCTCTCTCCCTCTCGTCTCTCTCGATCTCCCCGCTATGTCCACCCGCCGCTTCCAGGTTGCCAACGGGAAGCTGACGGCCAAATGGAATTCGGTGAACTTGCGCCATAGGGCTCCCCAAATCCTCGACCGAGCTTTCCTTGAAGAGGCTATCCGGTTCGGCCTAGGGCCGTTGTACTAGGGCCAGAGCCGTCGGAGTCGCTGGCTTTAAGACGCGAGATTGTGAGTTTTCAGTGTTGTCTATTTATAGCCGAGACTACGGCTATCTAGCAGAGATCATTCGGGAATGGAAGGGCAGGCTAGCAGAGAGAATTTGGGAATGGAAGGGGCAGGCTAGCAGAGATCATTTGGGAATGGAAGGGGCAGGCTAGCAGAGACCTATTTGGGAATGGAAGGGGCAGGCTAGCAGAGATCATTTGGGAATGGAAGGGGCAGGCTAGCAGAGATCATTTGGGGAATGGAAGGGGCAGGCTAGCAGAGATCATTTGGGAATGGAAGGGGCAGGCTAGCAGAGATCATTTGGGAATGGAAGGGGCAGGCTAGCAGAGATCATTTGGGAATGGAAGGGGCAGGCTAGCAGAGACCATTTGGGAATGGAAGGGGCAGGCTAGCAGAGATCATTTGGGAATGGAAGGGCAGGCTAGCAGAGATCATTTAGGAATGGAAGGGGCAGGCTGTTAAGAGATTATTTGGGGAATGGAAGGCAGGCTAGCAGAGATCATTTGGGAATGGAAGGGACAGGCTAGCAGAGATCATTTGGGAATGGAAGGGCAGGCTAGCAGAGATCATTTGGGAATGGAAGGGCAGGCTAGCAGATCAGCTTTTGGGAATGGAAGGGGGGCAGGCTAGCAGAG